CCACAGTGGGTGGATCTTCCCACTTTAGTTAGCACCAGAAACCCATCTCCAAGGTGGCTCCAGATTCGGTCAAGTTAACAATTATTTCCAACTGTCCCAAACCCCATAGCCATCCCACCGAGGAGAGACAGGTGTCATTATTTACTTGCCCAATCGTTTCTCAGAAGTCGCTGGCTGCAGAAATTGGCTGCCTGAAGTGGAAGTCAGAGCTCCATCTCTAGAGACTCCCAGTCGTCCATGAGACCCACGTACCAGTGTGTCCATCTAATACAGCACCTCCCCTGTCACAGTCGTTTGCTGCACCCACCCATGCAGGAGGCTGGTCTCTGTCATACCCAGGGATCCCCGTGACTTCTGACATCATTTGCTGGTGTTGCTCACACTTCAACTCCATCTCCAGATCTGCAACCACGCTCATTCCACCCCCACCCACAACCTTTCTCCTGTCTCAGCAGCAAATAGTGGTCCTCCCTGACCAACTGCCCATGCTCTATATCCACTCACTCATGCAAGACACAGGCCTTTCCTCCCACCTCTGGTTGTGAGCCCATTGCCTACCTGGCCTGGTGGTGCTCAGCTTCTGTGTGTAGGCGTAGGCTGCTTGTTCATTTCCGGTTGCCAAGATGCAAAATAATCACACTGAAACTATATTAATTGCAACACTGCTTGGCCTATGACTCCAACGTCTTCCTAGCTAGCTCTTACGTCTTAAATTAACCCATTTCTATTAATTTGTGTATCACCACATGGTTGTGTAAGGTTCCATCCAGCATCTGTCTCCTGCGTTGGCAACATGGCATCTCCTCAACTCTGCCTACTCTCTCTTCCCCTATCTGCTTGGAATTCCTGCCTTGCCCTATTCTGCGCTGCAATAGGACCAAAGCAGCTTCTTTATTAACCAATGGCATGCACAGCATACAGAGGGGAATCCCTCATCACCTGTCTATACTTCAAAAGGGGGAAAACTGAGAAAAGGGGCTGGGTGATCAAGCCATGCCTGGTGGGATCAGTAACTGGACTGCTCTGTGATTTCTTTTGCCGCACCCCTACTCCCTGGAATTCCAGACAAAGAAAAATACAGGCTGCGGGGTCACTTGAGTTTGCTCGCACATTCTTTCACCTCTGCTGTCCCTGGAGAGTCTGTGACATCATGGGGTGGATGTGCCTTTGAGTGGAAAGGAACTGAGTGTGAACCCCAGCTGTACTGTGTGATCCTGGCAGCTGACATATGTGCTGGCAAGTTTTATGTCAGCACAAGCTAGTCATTTGAAAGAAGGGAACCTCGATTGAGAAAATGTCTCCATAAGATTTGGCTGCAGGGCATTTTCTTAATTAGTGACTTAATTAGCGGGGGAGGACCAAGTCCATTGTGGATGGTCACATCCCTGGGCTAGTGATTCTGGGTTCTGTAAGAAAGCAGGCTGAGCACACCATGTGAGCAAGCCAATAAGCAGTTCCGTTCCACGGCCTCTGTCTGCATCAGCTCCTGCCTCCAGGTTCCTGCCCTGCTTGAGTTCCTGTCCTGATTTCCTCCAATGATGGACTGTGATCTGGAAGTGGAAGTCAAATAAAGCCTTTCTTCTTTTGGTCATGGTGTTCCATCGCAGCAATAGAAACCCTAGCTAGGACCGAAGGGCTCTCTAGCAGGGCTGAGCATGGCAAATATGGTGTCCACTGGTTTGGCCCCTTCCCTTATTAAATTGTTAGCTTGCATTCCTAAAACTAGCCCTTAAGGTCTATTCCCTTATTTGACCACTGACTCATTCCTGAGATTGATCACCAGGGTCCAACTATCAAAACACTAAGGTCCAGCAACCAAAATTCATTATTTGGCCACACTGGCTAGCCTGTCCAATCAGGACTTACCAACTCATTCTAACTCAGACTTCCCCTCTTTGCTCCTTAAAAACGCACTGCTGCAAAAACACCTGCTGCCTGCCTGTCTGATCCAGAGGCAGCCCCATCCCCATCCCCTTGCTTGTCCCTCCAGGGTAATTAATCTCCGTGCTAAGACCTTGGTATCTAGGTGCGACCATACTGACTCCAAGGGGCTGGCTCAGCCCTCCATGGGCAATACCTCTCTGTTCTTCTGTAAGGCGTTGGAAAGGGTACTCTTCTTGAGAATTGCCATGCTGGGTGTGTGTGACATGTTTAGCCAGTGCCTGGTACATGCCATATTTACCATGTCATACAGGTTTGGTTTGCCCGGGAGCACCCCAGTGGCTTGTAGTCCTTTCGACTGAAGGAGGCCTCCTTGTTGGCTGCAGTTCGGGACCTGGATTACATACGCAGTGCCCAGCCTCCCTGTCCCTCTCAGAGCCTCCCCGACCCCACCGCTGTATGATTCCGAGTGGCGAGGACATGTGGTGTTTCTTTTTCTTCTCTGTATGTTTCAGAATACATGGGCCATCTATATTACCCTGTTTCTCAGACTCGGGCCGCACGGGAACAACTGTGTTGTAAGACAACTCAAAGATCGGCCTTGCAATGGTATGGTGGCTACTTTCTTGGACCCCATGGCCTCAGAGGCTCTCCATGAACCTGACTGCAGCTTACATTAGCGAGGGTCCCAGAGTGAGCCCCTGCCTTCAATCCTCGCTCTGGAGTTGTAGCCATGCAGGTCCGATTTGATTCCCACTTCCACATTGATCCCTGAGGTCTGCTCTTGTTTTTGCCTCTCCGAGTGTTGGAACCATTAAGCTACATGCAGGGGTCAGGCCCCTGGGGCTCGATCCGCTCAGGTCGCCTGCACAATTGAAATCCCAGCCCATCCTGGCTGCTTTTCTCATTAAGGCGATTGGACTGGATTGATCTAGTCAATCAATAGGCAGACATCAGCAGTGGGAAGCCCATCAAACGAGCCTGAGTGGTCAGCCCCAGAATGAAGTCCCCACCAAGTTTCAGTGGGCACGCGGCCCTCTGAGTTGGAGGTGGGGAGGCAGAGGCATGTGCTGGAGGTCTCACAGAGGACTGTGGGGGTGTGTGGAGGCAACAGTACCCCCAAGATGTGGCTACTGAAGCACATACAGATATCCAAAACTCCTCCTCAACCAGTCAGCTTGTAGTGGGCTCCCCCAAGACCAAGCACGAGACCTGCCCTCCCTTAAGTGTCTAGGCAGATGGGGTACAATTGCTGGGTGTTAAAGAGGCCAGGGGTGGTGTCTCAGGGCCTATTCCTTGGAGTAAGAGACTCTGAAGCCAGAACAGGGGTGGGTGGACCAGATCCCATTGTGCCTCAGGGACCTGTGTGGGGTCTCAGAAGGGGCCTCCCTGACAGAGTGGTTTGGAGACACTGGGGTGTGTGGTCCCTCGTCTGCAGGCCCTAGAAACCCATTATCTCATGCAGGCTCATGTTTGACCCTTGGTCGGTACTGGGTGGTGCTGTTTCGGGGGTGTTTGTGGGATCTTCACGAGACAGGGCTTGAGTGGAGGAAGTGGGTGACTGGAAGGGGAAACCTTCAAGGTTACAGTCCCGTCCCACTTCCAGCTGGAGCCCTCTGCTTCCTGGTCAGTGTCATGGGACAAGGGACAGCTGTAACCTGTCACCTCAGTAGATCTCAGCTCCTCCCCCCCGCGCCCCCCCCCCCCGCCACCCTGCTCTTGAGGGACTGCACCCTCTCAGTCCAGGAGCCAAAAAGCGAACCTTTCCTCCCTCTTGTTGCTTCCACCAGGTATTTAGTCACAGTAACTGGAGCCACGGGCAATCGTCAGCCTGGTGTGTCACTGCTCCCAGCTTGTTGGACCCCAGCCTTTTCCTTTGGTCTTAGAGGGTCTCAAACATTTATTTCTTATTTGTCTAAACAAAGGATCTAGAAAGAAATGAAACCTTCCACAGGTGGAGAGGTGGGGATGTCGCAGGTCCAAAGCCTGATTTCAGCTCCCCTGGGGGTGTCTAGCCCCCACTTATCCCCTGCCCTTTCCCGCTTCTGTGTCTGACCAAATATCAAGTGGAACCTTTGGAAAATGCATTAACTTAGCAACCCACGAGCTTCCCCCAACCAAAGAGCTCAGATGACTGCCAGAGGGCATCTGCCCCCGACAGAGGCCCCCTCTGCTGTAAGTCCCTCTGATGTCTCCACCAGGGTATCTGGAAAGTGCCTTGGCTCATGACTCTCCTTTATTCTGTTACTATTAAAACTTCATGAAACTGCTTCTGTTGGACCATGAAATTTAGGGTAACCTAAATCTGTGTTCATAGGCCGTGGTCACCCATATTTGACTTCAGATAAGTTATCTCTTATCCCATTTGAAATCAGAGTTGTGGTTTTCGTGTCAACCTGTGTGTGTATGTATGTATGTGTGTGTATAGTTTGTATGTGTGTGTGTTGTGTGTGTGGTTTGTGTACATACGTGTGTGCTATGGTGTATATGGAGGTCAGAGAACAGCTTTCAGGAGTCTGTTCTCTCTTTCAGTTGTGGGTTCTGGGGATTGGACTCGGGCTGTCAAGCTTGCCCAGTGGGTGCTTTTACCTCTGAACCACCTGGCTGGCCCGCTGTGGGTCTTGTGTATAGAAGGCTGACGTGTGGAGAAAATTCTTCAGTAAGAGGGATCTATGGGAGCCAAGGAAGTGACAGAAAGGACATGCCAGCGAGAGGGAGTGATCATGAGATCAACTCTGTCCCCCTTCCTGTAGGTGAAGACTGAGTGGTGACCTCTGCATGGGAGGCCCAGCCCTCCGTTCAGCGGCTCTCCTCACTTTCCTGTTACAGGATAGTGGTCACCATCCCAACTACGTATTGTTAGGTTCTCGGTGTCTTACTCAAAGAACTGAAGAATTACATATAAATACCAAAATAGGAAGGGACTTCATTCAGAAGTACCGTGAAAGTGCAGGTCAAGAGATCAGGGCTCTGAGTGAGTCATTCCCCAGGAAGGAGGCCCACCCCTTCTCCTTCTGAGGGTTCAGGAAAAGGAGGGAGCTGAGTGTTGGGGTGGGGTGAGGGTAGTTTTCTGCTTTGATTTACAGGCTTGGACTATGGCACCTTTATTCACACGAATGTCCTTTCCTATAATGCCTATGATTCTAATCATATGCATGGCCAGTCATGCATACACATAGATGGAACGTAGGGTATTCCCTTCAAAGTTCATCCCAGCATAGGCTGCCTTTACTGCAAGCATCTAAAGTCAGTTCAGGCTGGAAGGACTGGATGTGTTTGGTCGCTGACAGGGAGTTGCTAAGGGTTGCCAGGAGGGAGTGGTCTGCCTACCACACCCTTTGGAACTTGGGGGTGTAGCTCGGTGTAGGCAGTGGTCCTGAGTTGCTAAGTTCCCCATTATGCTTGCCTGTCTCACCCCCTCTCCCCCTCCCTCTGCAGGCTACCTGACAGTGAACATTGAGCCCCTTCCTCCTGTGGTGGCTGGGGATGCAGTGACCCTGAAGTGCAACTTCAAGACAGACGGCCGCATGCGCGAGATCGTGTGGTACCGGGTAAGTGGTCGTTCCCTATGGCTGTCTCTGTGAACTAGGACTGTGACGGAGTCCACAGGCAAGGTTGTATCCTCAGTTCTGGCCATCCCTAAGCTTCCCTTGGCTCTCTTTCTTTCTTTGGTTTTCTCTGTGTTTTTGGTAAGCCCGGGGCTCTGTCAGTGCCCCAGAGAAGTTACTGAGAAGTGCAAGCCCCAGGGACTGTGTGCGGCTCGGGACAAGACTCGTGTGCTCCTAAGCAGGGTGCTTTGGCCATGTTCTCAGAGTGTGAGAGAGGACAAGAAGGCTTCCTGTCTTTCGAGATGCCTTTCAGTCGAGTGGGGTGATGCACAGACAGCTCAGGAGGCTGAGCAGGAGCTTTGCTGGTTTTAGGGCAAGCCTGAGCTACATAGTGAGAGTCTGTCTTAAACAACCAAAAAGCATGGCGCATGTCAGATATTTTCTGCCACTTCAGCTTACTGCATGAGACCCAGCCTGGCGCCTGGCACCAGCTACCTAGGCCTGAGGAGGGAAGTAGCTCAAGATGTACAGGAATCACCCAGGTGCCCAGATGTAGCACAATTAATAAAAACCCAGAGGCAGATGTTGGGATTCAACAGAAAAGCAGAACAGCCAGCCATTGGCTCTTACCTCTGCCTCAGTCTGAAATGGTGATCCTGCCTCCAGGGATTTTCAGAATGAGACTGTGTCTGAGAGCTGTCTCCTCCTGGTTTATAATCCTCTCCAGGGCTGGGATTAAAGGCGGGCACTACCACCTCCCGGTGTCTACGGCAAGCTAGTGTAGCTACTGGGATTAAAGGTGTGTGCCACCACTGCCTGATCTGTAAGGCTGACTAGTGGGGCTGTTTTACTCTCTGACCTTCAGGTAAGCTTTATTTATTAAAATATAAATGAAATATCACTTCACCCAGGTGCCAATGGTGACCGTGGGAAGAACAACTTTGGGTCTTAGTGGAATGAATCTCTGTGGGTCTGAATGGGGTATCCCAGCCTGGTAGCTCCTAAAAGAGCAGGAGCTGGGCTCCTGAGAAGGGTGGCAGGCTTGGAGGCTGGACTGTGAGAACATAACCAGGGATGCCCCGACGATTCCTCTCCTGGGATCTAAGCCTGGGCATCATTTCCCAGTTAAGGCCAAGACTGTAAACGTGTTCCTTTCTGCCAACCATAGAGTGTGAGTCGCGGCTCCTCCACACTGTTTGGGGACAATGTGGGAACGAGAGGGCACACCACGTCCCCAAACCTGCTGTGCATGGAAGCCAGCAAGTTGAATTTTGTATGATTTTTCCTGTGTCCCAAAAATACCTTCTTCCCCTATATCGAACAGTTAAAAAAAAAAAGTAAAAACCGTGCTTTGTTCGTGGGCCATGTGGAAACAGAATGTGGATGAAGTGGACTCCCGTCTCAGAGTTAAAGATACCTGATAAAAAGCATTCTGCAAAGGGTGGGTGTGTAGCTCAGTGGGTAAGTGCTTGCCTGGCTCCTAGGGAGCCTTGGTTTAGAACCATAACGCTGTGTAAAACCTGGTGCAGTGCATACCTGTAGTCCCAGCACTGTGAGGTGGAGGCAGGAGGATCAGAAGTTCAGGAGCATCCTTGGCTACTCTGCCTGGCATTCACCCACAGAGCTTGGAAACTTGGGGTGAGGGGTGAGAGGAAGAAGTCCTGGGTACCTCAATGCCCCACCCAGGCCACCCTCCACCACCTCCCTCCATCATTCACGTGTCTTGCTCAGTGCCTTCCTTGCCATCCATCTTGAATTTCTGAATGTCTTTGGTTCATCATTTGCTGATGAGTGTTGTTTCGTTGACTCTGGTCATGCTCTTCTGAACCCAAGACTGTCCCCATCTCAGCACCATAGCCCCTTCTGCTTGGAACCAGCTCCAAGGCCTTCCACCCATGCCCTACAAGTGAGAGCTGCATACTTGGACCCATGGTCCCCAGTCCTCGGAGAGGGAGACCAACCGGCCCAGACCTGCAGGAGCCTAGCCTTGAGTTGTATTGTCATCTGTGGAGCCACAGGCTATGGGGGCTGCTTGACTGTCACAGACGGTCAATATCGAGGACCTGAGAGAGAATAAGCCCAGCTGCTAGCTGTCACTGTGGTCACATCTCATCCTCCCTTACCTGGGGTAGAATCAGGGAGGAGAGAAGAAAGGCATTATGGACTGGTAGGAATGGTCCCTGGTAGGTGGGGTAGAGTTGGGGCTTGGAAGAGTCAAGGGGCCCCATAGCCTTCTATGCTCCCCCCTCCACCCCCCAGCAGTCAACATGCTAGAGGAGAGGATAGTCTTCCAGCGGAGACAACTTTCAGAGGAGAGACAACACCAGGCCTGGCTAGGCCCGTGCACAGAGTGTCCCTGTGACTCTGTAAGCTTGAGGCACAGTATAACTTGAGTCTCCAGTCTGGACGGAGACTTCCACCTAACTTCTGCCCAGCCCAACCTAATCCCTGCCTTGACTACTTAAAGAATTGGTTATATTTCCGGTGGGTGTCAGGCCCTATGTATGGGGCTACAGTAGAGTGTACTAATTTATCTTATTTCATTTCACATCCTTTGACTGAAGTCTTCTGGCATGGGAGGATGCAGATGTATGCAAATCGTATGCAAATTACCCACTGGAGCCAAATGCCAGGGGCCCTTTTAATTCTGGAGCTGGACAGGGTGGTGGCTCAGCTGTCTGGTTGCTCTCCTGGGGACCAGAAGAGCCCACATGCTCTGCCGCTGATGGGGAGGATTGAGGCTGGGGCAGAAGGAAATTCCAGGAAAGATGCTCCATGCTGCCAGCTTTTTCTCCCCTTTGACTGCTGCTGTTCTGGCCTTCCTCTTTTCTCACAGAGACAGCTGAAGAGAGAGAGAGATAAGAACTGACCTACCTAAGTGGAGGCTCCAGGACCTGGGGCTGGGCAGGGTTTCCAGGGGGCATGGGAGAGGCAGCAAGGAAAGTCCCAGCCTCCTTCTCCGATGAACACCCCTCCACACACCGGACCAGCCCCCTTAGCCTGCCTCCATCCTTCCCCCACTCTAGAAGCCTGGCTGCAAACAGCAAACTGCCCAGTGCCTTTTGCTTCCAGGCCCCTGTGACTTCCCTCCTCCTGCCTCCCCCAACTCCTGAATGAGTTTACAGAGCCTGGCTTAGAAAGCTATGAATAGATCCCACAGGCCCAGCCAGGCCCAGGCTTCCAAACCCTTCAGGAGGGAAAAGCAGGGGCATTGTGACGAGCCATCACTGCCGGGCTCGCTCAGCCCAATGGGCACTGAGCAGTCCAGTGAGTATGTTAAGTCTCGCAGCTCTGCTGGGCTCTAGAAAAGCGTCTGCGCAATAGATCAATAGTTTCCCCAAGGCACAGAAGCCTGAGTGAGTAGCTCAGTGGTAGAGCACTTGCCTAACATGTGCAAGGTTCTGGGTTCAATACCCAGCACCACACAGACACATGCACATGAGTGTGAGCGTGTGCGCTCATACACACACACACACACACACACACACACACACACACACACACAGAGAGAGAGAGAGAGAGAGAGAGAGAGAGAGAGAGAGAGAGAGAGAGAGGGAGACTTTTCAAAGCATAGAGAATAGAGAGAGACTTTCCAAAGCATAGAGAATAGATTAGATTGATTCTTTGGGGGAGACTGGGGAGTCAATAACACTTTCTGACCTCTGGCTAGACATCTGGGATGCCTAGAAGGAAGAAAAGTGATGGAGAAGTAGCTGGAACTTGGATACCTTGCCTGAGGTCTCGCTAATAGGGATGGAACTCAGGCTAGCTTGGTGAAAATGCCAAAACTACCAGATTGTCTTAGGAGAGTACAAGTGGTCAGAACGTCCCCCAATCCCTCCCCCATGCCAACCTGCATCATCCATGTGGCTGACACTGGTCACACATGGCTGTTCTGATTTAAACTAAAAAGCAAAATGCTTCCCCCCATTCATCCAGACGAGCCATTTCCAGCACTTGCCACACAGAGCCGGTGGCATCAGATTGCAACGGAACAAAAATAGAACATTCCTGTCTCTGTGCGGGTCTGTTGGAACCCAGAATGCCTCTGACATTCAGATCTCCTCCCCACTGGAGTCTCTAGAATATACTGTGCTTGCCTGTCAAAGGCATGGCGCTGGCTCTTCACGGAGCCTCTTCACTTCCTGGCAAACTCACGCCACAGTGAGTTCCAGCAAAGTGAGTTGTATTGATCTTGTGACATATCATCATTATAGCATGTGTGTTTGTGGTGAGGGAGGGTGGGAGGAAGGAACTGGTTATCCCTCTTCAAATACATCTGAAAACAGAGAGAGGTCAAGAAAACGGTCAGACTCGGGGTCTCCGGTAGTGCGGTGTCTGTCCTGTGACCTAAGGAAGGCTTGCATCCTTCTCATCTCCCTGGGACTTTTCCACTGTTGTATGGGTTCTTCTCCTAGACTGGAGTTTCCCAGTATCATCTGCAAGCCCTGGACATAGTTCTTCCTATTCTCCCAGCAACCTTCAGCAGCTAACCGTGTGAAGGTGCAGTTCCATACACGGTCAGTAGGAGCTGGCCATCTAAGAGTCCTCCCACCTTAGGGCCCAAGAAAGAACTTATTCTTGATGAGTATTACACAATAAAGTTCATTTTGTCCTTCCTGTCCCCTGGGGTCATGTTTAAAAATAGGATCAGTGCTAACCTAAGTGGGTGACATTGAGCCACTCCTGGGAGCTGGGCACAGGGTCAAGGGCTTTACACTTCAATTTCATGTTGTCACTGCGAGGCAAATAATACTGTGAGTTCTGTTTTTCAGGAAAGGAAACCAAGGATATTCAAAATATTGGGTTTCAGGTCCTATTACATCCCCCAACTTCTCCAGAAAATTCTAGATACACCCTCCTCTGACCACCTCGGGCATAAAAGTTGTATCTTGTTTCCATGATTCTGGGCAGCTACTGCAAAGTCACCTTGATAAATTAACAGAGGCTGAACTTTGGAGAGTTGACCTGTGGGCAAAAGAGTTTGCAATGCAAGTGTGAAG